TATACGTTCCAGAAATGCAGGGGATTCAATCCCAACCTTAGTTGTTGATGGTTTAATAACCAACTTTCCTTGAGAACAAGTAGAACAAGAGAATTTCTTTGATTGAAGAATTTTCTGATTCTTCAAAGTATGCCCATGTGAATTCTCAATAATTTTGCACATCATATTATAACCTGGATAGCCCAACCGGTCATGCCAAATGATAAAATCATTAGGATTAGTAAACCCTTTGTTTACTATGGCATGTGATTCAACCATACTAATACTTGTATGGTACAATCCAGAAGAAAATGCGGGTAATTTTTCATGCACATATTTTTACTCCAATTTTACTGTAGTAATATAAAGGTATTCAACCTTTCCTTCATTGGCTGTCTTAACATGATAGCCATTTTAGCGAATAACCTTGAAACTTAATAAGTTTCTTTGAGACTTACTACAGTACGACGTATTTTTAATATTTAATATCGTTCCCCTAGGTAGTAGTAAGGCCACTCTTCCAGAGCCCTCAATTACTTTTGCACTACCAGATATTGTATTAACATAAGCCTTTTCCATAATCAAATTAGAGAAATATTTCCTTTCTCTTAAAATAGTGTGAGTTGTAGCACTATCAAGAAGACACATATCTCCATTACTCATCTTGAACCAATTGAAGATTGAGGAATTTTATTTATCTTTATAAAATAAAAGTACATCATAAGAAATATGAAAAAACAATAACTATGCAAGAAAATAAAATTACTTTTTTTTCTGAATATAAAAACAACATAAGGAAAAACATAACAATTAAAAGTACACAAATAAAATAACATAATTATTTTCCCCAATCAAATGATCAAACATTAGTTTTGATCTCCAAAGAAGTCTTCAACTTCCAAATGAGTAATATCATCAAGGTCATCAAAATCATCATCTTTTAAAGCCAAATTTGCTTCAATAATGTCATCATATTTTTGTGAAGGCCCTGCCTTGACATTATTTTTATAAGTCAAGTGTGACTCCACTCGAGCATTAGAAGAAGATGCACCATTTTTATTTCCTTTTCTTTTCAAGGAATCTTGATAAAGCCTAACAAAATGCTCAACATTCATTCTTCCAATGCCCTTTCATGCCACAACGATGACAATTGCCTCTTGAAGGATTGCTTTGAGAACCCATATTGTTCTCCCTTTTGTGGCGACCACCACCACGATGATTATTAATATCGTCCTCTGCCATTGCCACATCCATGCACATTATTTTGGCCCTGATTTTTATTTTGTCTTCTTTCAGACTGGCCATGTGCTTCAACCTCATTTGCTTCCGGTAACGGAACAGTTCTCGTGGGACGGGCCTCATGGTTTTTCAATAAAAGAGTATTATGTTTCTCAACCACAAGAAGGTATGAAATCAACTCAGAATGGTTTTTGAATCCCCTTTCACGGTATTGCTGCTGTAATACCAAAGTTGAGGCATGAAAAGTTGTGAAAGTCTTTTCCAACATGTCCTCATCTTTTATATCTTCCCCACATAATTTCAATTGGGAAGTAGTTTTGTATACAACAGAATTATATTCACATATAGTTTTAAAATCTTGTAATTCAAGTGAATCCATTCATAACGAGCCCTTGGTAATACCGTTGCCTTATGGTGGTCATACCTTTCCTTCAAACCAGTCCACAATTCAAGTGGATCTTTCACCGTAAGGTATTCAACCTTCAATCCTTCATCCAGATGATGACGAAGGAAAATCATTGCCTTTGCTTTGTCCTGACTCGCGCTGTATTACCATTGGTAATAGTGGCACCAAGACCTTTAGCGTCAAGGTGAATTTCAGCATCGAGTACCCATGACAAGTAATTATTTCCAAAATGTCAAGTGCCACGAACTCAAGCTTTGATAAATTCGACATGATAAAAACTATCATAGAAAATATTTAAATTAGAGTAAAATAGACAATGAGTAAATAATTAAGTAGCAAAACTTATTTTCATCAAAGTAAAATTAGCATACAATCTAAATTAAAATTATGCCTCACAAATAACAAAAATAACTTTTAGTAAAATTGTTAGATAAAGTCTTTTCATTAAAAATTAATCAATAGTATAGATAATTCACTTTTTTCATTGAGAACAGAAAACACTTGAATTTGTAGTCCATTCATATTTTTTCACAAAACAATGACCTTCATCTTCTCTTCGCAAAATCGATAAATGGTTAGCCTTTTTTTTTCATTCAATTATAAATAACATGTAAAGTAGAAAAAGTATAGCCACAATTTAATAATTTTAATATTAGATTATAAATGGATACCTCACAAGAAATGTTGTTCAACCTTGAGACTTCGTGCTGATAACGTATTGTGAAACTTAAGAACAAAAGAACAATATAAAAAGGAAGACAAGAAGAATATAACACAAGAGAAACAATATAAGATCACTTTCTTTCTTTCAAGTGTTCTTTCAAAATTATTCTCAACACCTCTATTTCTAGGATTACATTGAGGAATACCAAAGGGTGTCATAAACATTACATTAAACCTTGAGAATTACTACACATTAAGGAGGAAATAAAACTAGGAGTTATGGTCATCCAATTAACCATATTATCAACAACATTACTACCAATAAAGGATGAAATTAACCTAGGAGTTATGGTCATCCATTTGATCACATTATCAACAACATTACTACTCATAAAGGAGGGAATTAACCAAGGAGTTATGGTCATCCATTTAACCACCAAAATGATTTACAACAGTATAAGTACATTTAAAAAAAAAAAAAAAGGGGCCCAAGCGATGACTTTAGTGACCTAGTGGTTAAGACGGCCCTGTATTCAAGTTCAGACTTGTAAATCTGAATATACATCTTAATGTGCATTTAAACTTAGTTGTAATATAGAGGATTTGGCTCTTCTCGATTTCTCTTCTCTCCGTTTTCTCCAAGTTCCTACTTAGATGTACGACACCTATGTTACTGAAATATTAAAGGTGTGGATTGATTAATTGTCTTAATCAAAGAAGTATACTAATTAACCATGATTAAAAAAAATATTTAAGATTTCCAACTTTAGTAAGAAAATATTCATTTTCCAAATTTTTGAGAAAAAAATGGATTTACTTCAATTAAATAGCATTAAAATTTTGATATAAAAAGAGTTTTTCTATAGTTTAACAACTTGAGTCACGATCAAATCTATAGACATTTTGTTTTTTAAAAATAAATTCTATCTATTTTTTGGAAAAAGTTAGTATAACTTTTAGTTTTCTTTGATATTTTATGGCAAAGTAATTTTTAATACTTATTATTTAATATTTGAATGCTAAAAATTCTATTTTATGATTTACAATATTTTTTCTTCATAAAATAGCTTATTTAAATGTTTATTTTAAATTGACAGAAATTTAGTCTATGAAGAAACATTTTTTTTGTGTGAATGGAAAAACTATAGATAACGAAAATGATTTGAACTATGGTGCGAAAAAATTGTGAGATGGTTTTTTGATAGCAATAATTAGATAGATTTAAATGGTAATATATATCCTTTTAATCATGATTAAGGTATTTGATTACTTAAAATTATGCACCATTGATATTTAAATAATACAAGTGTCATACATCTAAGTAGGAACTTGGGGAAAATAGAGAGAAGAGAAATTGAGAGGAGCTGGATCCTAATATAGATAGAGAAGAGGTTATGATGGAGGGACGGTTTTATCGGTTAGAGTAATTAATTTTGTAGAAAATTATTCAGTTCCATTGAGGAGACAAAGATGCAAAACCACTCAAATATTCACTACCTACTTTATTTTGTTTTCCCCTCAAATTTATTGTTTTTCTTTTTACGTATTTTTTTTTTTGCTTCTTCTTTTTATCTGCATTTTGACTTTCTCTAAAAATGTGATTTTGGATTCTAGGTTTGTATATTTCCTATCCATTTTACATTTGATCCAACTTCCAAGCTTATTCCATACAAGTTAGAGGTGATCTTTCTCTCTGTTTCTATGTTCTGTTTTGGATTTTATGTGTGATTCTTTAATTGTCATTTCACAATTGCTCTAAAATTGGAGGCATTCACTATATCAAAACTGATATTTAATATCAATTAATTAACGATAATAGCTTAATTGCAACTAAATATGTAGTTTTAGCGGCAATTAACACTCTTTATATATGTACCTAAAGCCTAATCCGATGACAATTAACTATAGCACTCTTTGTTAATGTACATATTTACTGCCGATAAAAAATGTTTTTGTTGTAGTGATTCCTTTGATTGTTTCTTGGTTTGAATAGGGATTCAGTAATTTGCTTAGATTCTGAACTCAGTGTCTTGATTCAGATGGATTTTTTCCCTTTATGTGTTAGTTATGTCTAAATTCTTAATGTAAGATAATGTGTGTGTTTCATTGTACTAATATCGATATTGGTTATCATAGGAGGTAAGATTGATAGTTGGATTACTACTTCAGGTTCAACGATCACTTAGTTTTATATTTTGTATGTGAAGCTTGATTTTGTTTTCATTTGAGGACAATTATATATTCGAGGGTTAAGTGAAAACGTGTACTTTTGAGGAAAGAAAGCCTCAGACAAGGATTAGTAACTCCTATTGCTTTCAAGGATTCCGCTTTATCTCGTGGAAGGCCAAGCTTAGGAGATAATCCTTTTAGATTGAATGCTTCGCATTTACCTCAACTTGTGTTTGTTTGGAGGTTGGAAAATAGGGAAAGTACTAAGTGCTTTGCACAAACATATGAATTTTTGTTATTTCTTGAACTAATGCACGTTCTGCTGTTAATTGAAAGCAGAAACAATTTTTCTGAAGCTAAAAATTACAAAAAAAACTGGTTGTTGAATGTTATTTCTTTCACGAGTCAAGATCAGCCTATCACGCTATTTAAGTTGGTATGATTTTTGTTGTATTGATTATTGATGCACAATGGAATAACATTTATCCTGATTACTGTAATGCAGTTAATTGTCTCTTCAGATATGTTGGAAGCTTCTTCAAACATGGATCCCCCTAAAAATGAAGGGGATATGAAACCAACAAATCTCGAAGAAGTAAAAGAGGAGGGTCCTCTCTTTTCTTGTAATCTATTTGATGCACAAATGGTTCGAAAGGTAGCACAGGAATTCCTTACAGGATTAGCCTCCGCTTGTGTTGACAACACGACTGGTGGTTTATTCAAGAGCCCTGCTTCTATGGCTGTTGATATCAGAAGAGAAATGGTGGACTATCTTATCCAGAGAAGCGAGACATTTGTTGCTGAATCTGTTGTGTTAGAAGGTGGAACAGAAACCATTGTGTCGGACAACCCTTATGATAACATTTCGGATTTTATTGATGATTTTGGTCAGTCGAAGAGAAATTTTTTTAGCAAGGTTTCAGGTTGGATGCTAAGTGAAAGAAGAGAGGATAGAATAGATGATTTTGTACAAGAAATGGAGATAAATGGCTTTTGGTTGATGGCGAGGAGGGAAACCGTAGCACAAACAGTGATTCGAAACGTTGATTTCAAAAACACCTTTCACTGCAATATGAAGTTTAAGTCCGAAGAAGAGCTTGCAAGACATGTCTTTTCGTGTGGTTTCAGGGAAATACACTGTGAAAATGACGGTTGTAATGCAAGATTTAGTGCAGCTCAACTTGAACAGCATGATTCGGAGTGTCCTTTCAAAATACTTCAGTGTGAGCAGAAGTGCCCAGAAATGCTCATGAGACGTGAAATGGACCGGCATTGTATAACTATTTGTACAATGAAGCTTGTCAATTGTCCCTTTTATCCCGTTGGTTGCCAATCGACTGTTCCCCAATGCAAAGCAGACGAACACCGTAAAGAGAATCTCCAATCTCACTTGGTCTACATTTTAAAACTTATTTACAAGGAAGCATCTTCAGAAGCTCTTAAGAAAAGGGCTGAACAATTGGAACAGGTATGTTATGAAATGGTTTGTGCAACTTACACTTTTTCTAGCATCCAATGATTCAAGTGACTTTATGTTGTCAGTTTGTTAGATTCTATGGGTGGATCTATGAAGAAGGGTGGGTAGTAGAGGAGCTAGGATTTTCACTAAGGGGGCTTGAAATATAAAAAAATAAATACATGCATGAAGAGGCCAAGGGGGTTCAACTCAATTCAAGAGGAAATACATTTCAGCTATCTTTTTGTTGTTGCGAAATTCATGATCATTTGGCCAACTTCTGGGATCTTGTTGTATTACTTGTTAGATAATGAGAATAATAATAGTAAACAGGCAACATCAGGTGATATATTCTTTTATTCTCATAAACAGGCAACATCAGGTGGACGATTAGCAGCTGCTCGTGATGCAAGATCATTAACAACTGCAATTAAGAATATTGATGCAAAGCTTGGACCGTTGGAGGTCGAGAAAAAGATAGAGGTCAATCCAGAGTTAATAGAACAAAAAGACGAGGGCACTGATGTATCCACCAAGAATGACGATCATGATGGTAAGGACTCGCTTCATAAGAATGAGACGTCTCCAGACTCACCCAAGATTCAGCATGACCTTACAGCTACGCCCGCCAAAGCAGAGTCACCTACCAAATCAGTGGATATTGTAGAACCAACTAGCAAAACTAAAGTGCAAGAATCTTCTAAGTCACCTCAGGACCTCACAGTTTTCTCATCCAAAAGTGAAGAGTCTACCCTCTCACCCATGAAACATAAAAAATCTTCCTCACCTGAAATGGATACACATGAAACTAATGAGTCTACACCATCACCCAAAAAACACCATGACTCCACAGCTTCCTCACCCAAAATGAGTACACATGAGTCGACTCCATCACCGAAAAAACACCATGACTCCACAACTTCCTCACCTAAAATGTGTACACACGAGTCTACAATATCCCCAAAAGAACACCATGACTCCACAGCTTCCTCACCCAAAATGAGTACACATGAGCTTACTCTACCAAAGAAACACCATGACTCCATGGCTACCTCACCCAAAATAGGTACACATGAGTCTACACCATTACCCAAAAACCAACATGACTCCACAACTTCCTCACCCAAAATGAGTACACATGAGTCGACTCCATCACCGAAAAAACACCATGACTCCACAACTTCCTCACCTAAAATGTGTACACACGAGTCTACGATATCACCAAAAGAACACCATGACTCCACAGCTTCCTCACCCAAAATGAGTACACATGAGTTAACTCCATCACCAAAGAAACAACATGACTCCACAACTTCCTCACCTAAAATGAGTACACATGAGTCGACTCCATCACCAAAGAAACACCATGACTCCACAACTTCCTCACCTAAAGTGAGTACACATGAGTCCACACCATCACCAACTAAACACCATAACTCCACGCCATCCTCACTTGAAACGGAGTATGCAAAAAGTGAAGAGTCTATTCCATCAGCCAATAACCATTAGGACTCCATGACTTTGGGAGTCAAGGTTGAGTGACATGCAAAATTAGGATTTTGTGGAGGAATGAACTTCAAAATGGAGTCTACAAGGCCACACCTCAGTGAAAAAAGATCAACAAATTCATCATCAAAAAGAGAAAAAGACCCCAAGTCAACAATTCCAAAGTGGATGCAGGGGTAGCAACCGAATGAAGTACATACATGAAATAGAATCAAACCATGTAAAAAAGTTTTCTTCGCCATCTGTCCATTGTCAATTGTGGCTAGTTAGTTTGTGAAACAATTTTTTTTGCACATTTCCTTTTTCATACAGTTAACTTATGATTTTATAATCATTTTAGGCTTTGCATAGGTTTGTTCTAGTGTCTCCTATAAATATTTCAGTACGTCAATTTGTTTTGTTTGTACTTTTAATTATTGTTTGTACAAGATACAACTCTTTTTTGCTCAGTGGTGTTGACTCTGCCTGTGGAGCAAGTTGATCTCAAGAAATTTTTCAACAAAATCACCAACTCAGCAACAATCAAGGCTTCCAGTCCAAAATTAATGCAATGAAGCCGCAGTCACAAGCAAACACAACTTATAAAAGAAGATGAAGATCAAGGGAACAAAGTGTGCAACTTTACTTGAACAAGAGATATATTCACTCTTTTATCGTGCAGTAAATAATGTATTCGTTGGGAATATTCTAGTGGGCACTAAATAAAAGCGAAGTGTGAGTTATACAAGTAAAGATTGTAGCCATAAAAAAATCTGGAATGGTCTAGATCAAGCGACAACAACACAATCTGTACAGTCAAAGCTCATTCAAGCTCTAAAGGAAACCTTCTAACACAAGGAGACTGGACTAGACACCACATTGGTGATCCGAATCAATAAAAAATCTTCTTCTTTTATCTTTTAGTTTTTCATAATTCATTATACTTTGCCTATTTGACTAATGTGCAGGTAAGTTGACTAGTGTGTGATGTCGCATAACTTACATCCTTTTTACGGTGTTAAAATAGTCGATGCAAAATGCAATAACCTAACTAGGTTGAGGTCAAATCTTACCGAGAGCATACTAGAATTTGCTTATAATTTGTTATTGAGATTCACGAAAGTAACTATTATTGGGGAATTGGGGTTTTTACCGAACTACTTTAACTACTTGGATTTTATCAATAGAGAAGATGAACTAGGGTTACAATTCTCAAATATCGAAACTCCAATAAATGCTGTACTATTCATTCATTCAGGTGTGCATTGTACAAAACCGACAAATCTATAAATCTCTTAAAGCCTCTCCCAATTATGAGAATATCACCCTAAGTCCTTCTCAAGTACTTGAGTATCGAATTAATTGGTTCATCCATTAAAAGCCTTAAGTTAACTACTCCTCTCTGTCTTAAGTTATTAGATAGTGGTTGGTAGCACCAAATCCTGTTAATGGATCTTTTTCCAAATATGTCACTGATAAGCGTTCAACCACACCTCATTCAGTACTTGGTGTGGACGATCATCATCTAGTATAAAACCCAACGAACAATTGAGATCTAACCGACATGGAGCAGTACAAGTTCAAATTCGGTGACCAAGTTACAAATGTAATCTAATTGGCGGTAGGAATAGAAATTATCGTAAACATTTAGTTAAATTGAAAGGGGTGACAACAAATGTCACATGGGGGAATAGGTTTGTCAATTAACAACTAAAACAAATACGAAACAGGGGGTTTCAACAATATTGAGAGGAATGCTTGGGATGTGATTGATTATAGGCTAATCTCACTATATGGGTAATTGAAATTTACTAACGATTGTCAAATCTTAGTAGGTAGGCTAGACTATAGGTCCAATAGCTTTCTCTCGAACAACTATTATGATTCAAGTGAGTCCTCTTGAACCTCGACAAGCTTTACACTAAGAACAATCCAAAACCTTAATTTATCTACTCTCTCGAGGTAGATAGGTAGAATCGATCTTAGGATTCATTCTCTCGAGCTGAACCCACATCAACCCAATAACTACAATGATTAATCTAAAACCTTAGTTCTAAAACCTCTTTCTCAAGCAAGCCCAAAACTCTAAGTTAGAATTGCATTTGCAACTACAATTTATAGATTAATACACAATAATCGATTAAACTCACTTCAATTAAGCATTTAAATCAGTAAATAACAATACTCATAAGCTAATTAAGCCAATAATCACATGATCACACCCCAAGAATTGGGGTTTCAGCTACACATCATAAAAAGAGAAACAATTACCAACTATATTAGCCATGAGCTGGGTAAAAGTTTCCAAGTCTCTACAATGCTCCAAATTGAATTAGTTCAAAAACCCAATTGAAATTCCTTAAAATTAAATCTCAAAAGCTTCAAAGTCTCCGGTGGGAACTCAAAAACACAAAGAAAACCAAAACTCTAAGAACTCTGGAATCAGAACTCCTTCTCTTCTTTTTAAATTTCAATTTATAGTTTTCTAATTTTTGGCCTTCAGGTCCATTAGGCGGAGTAAGTCGCTCCTCGCCAACCAGGTCGGCGATCCGCCCTTTTCTCCATTCCATCACCGATTTGCATTGGCCATTATACTTCAGGGTTCTGTGACTTTAGACGATCAAGGTTGATGTCGCCGAGTCAGTCGACGATCCACCGACTGTCCATTTCTGTCGCCAAGTAGGTTCTTCCCAGGGCTGGTACGCTGGAACTTTAGGCGAGCTAACGAGCCACTCGGTGGCTCGCTGAGTGGTCTTGGCGATCACCAAGACCGCCTTTCTTCAACATCTTCAGCTTTTTCGCTCTTTTTTGCCCGACAATGTCCTTGCCTTTCTCCTTAACGTTTGTTGCTGCAAATGGTTCTTTTCTTCTCTTTCCCTCTCGGGAGCTTCCTTTCGGAGTCGACGTGCTTCTGGCGATAATTAGTCAGGTAGAAAAGAGTCCTAACAAGTCTCCTTGCAAGTAGATGGGTCATCCAATAGCTCTCCTGCATCTGAGGCAGTTTAGAGCATAAATTAGGCATTTGAGGACACTTAAATCATGAAAACAAATCCCTAAATGAGTCGAAATCTCAAACTCAACAACACCCCCAACTTAAACTTTTGCTTGTCCTCAAGTAAAACTCAAGATCAATCAGTTCAATAAGGATGTCTACAAACAGTGCTACTTAAGACTCAACACAAATGCACACAAAAGGTTCAAACTACACATACAATGTTCAACTGTGCACTCAAAGTTTCAAATTGTAACTCACCATAATCAAGTATACTCAAGCTCACAATGCTTGCTTCAAATGCAAGTTCAAGCTCAACAAAAGTATTCAAATGCCCTCACAACAATGATGATTCCATAGTTCATACAAAATTTCTCAACAATTTAATATTTCGGAATCAAATGCAAGTCTCACGCTAAAAAAGATGAACACATGCATGACTCTACCAATAGGCTTGCACTTATCGTCCAATCAACATTCGTTTCAGCTCACTCAAGATCACCAAGGTCTTTTTCAGGCTTGTAATGGGGCTGAGTGTAAATGTATGGTCATTCAGGCTTAGTGGCTTCTACCTTCATGAAGTATGGCCTGAAAATCACATTTTCTCCTTCTCTTTCACATTCAAACATGTTCATAATCCACCTCATTATTCAACTAAACATGACTCACCGGATACCCCATTTCTTTTGCTTCTTTCACACACTTTATCCATCAAGGGGAAATTTTTCACACTTCTTGACTTTCCTCCTTTTTTGCCACACCCCCAACTTAGGCTTTTGACCTAAGTTGGCTATTCAAATGAACTAATACTTCATGAAGGTTATGGGTAATGGGACAAAGAGGTCAAAATTGTTCAAGTTTATTCCAAAGAAAAGGATAGACTTAAAAGGTGCCAAACAAGGTTCACACTTCTCACAAGGTGGCGACAAAGAGGTATATTATCAATTTGTTTCACTCTTCAAAACGTTTGCCTAAGATCATTTCAATCGCATGTTTCAATCAATCAATCATACCAACGGGGTAAATTCTAGGTGTCATCAAGAAAAACATTCAAAACAACCTCACCACACAAGGCAATCAATACAATTCAAACAAGACTCCACACTTTCTAGCTAGCGTGCAATGTTCATCACAAGAGACTTAATCGACAATCGGCTAGTCACAACAAGATGCTAACAGTTCACATATTGCCTATGTAACTCAGTTTGCCTCATCGTAGCTGCACATTCATGTCGTACAATCAAAAGCACTATTCAAGTCATCGGTATTGACCACAACCGATACTCAAATTTGCAAGAGAACAACTACAATCACACACAAAAGAGGTGGCAAAAATTTTAAAATTGGTCAAAACCATTTATATATTAAAAATAATGGACCACAATATCTCAACAACCAATATATATATATATATATATATATATAAACACCAATATACTTCAATATTCATAAAAACACAACAAAAAATAAGCCAATATTCACAAAAGTAGCCCAATAGAGGTAGGTGTGGCAATACCTCACCCCGCCAACAAAAATAAGCAGTTGTCCTCAAATGCAAATAAAACAGAAACAATCTAAAAATAATAGAGAAGGAGGCAAAAAGATCATCCTGTCAGGCTAGGACTGGGGTGTAGTCTGCATATCGGCAACCCCTTCTGTCTGGGCATTAGTGCCCGGTATCTCATCATCCTTGGCTCCACTGGAGCACACCATAGAGGTGTCTCGGAGCGATGCCTGCCTAGTGGTCTCAAACATGGCACCATCTAAGTCAGCCAAATACTCGTACACAGTCTTCTCTCGAACACCGAGCTACTCCCCATCTATCTCTACCTCGAACTCACCCTTAGCGTCATCAGCTCTAACCTCATCTCCGGTAATAGCCAAAGAAACCTCAGAACTAGCCGGAACATCAACACTCGGTATGCTGGGAATCTCCTTCATTCCAAACAATATAGTCAAATCAGTGGACTTAAGCTGGTCAACATCCTTCTTCAACCCAGTAATATCTGCCTTCAAGGCTGTAACAACATCAGCAGCACCATGACTCTACTCACATGCCTCAACTCTGACTGTAAGGGAATCCAATGCCAACTTGTGGCTCTCAATCAACGTTCGCTGCTCCCTCAACTCAGCCCTAATGGGGGCTAAAGCAGTAGTAATGGGCCTGCTCTATCAGCCCAGGAGGCGCGTACATTAGCTGAATGAGCCAGATGGCTCATCTTGTATAGAATGGTCTGGGTGATTGGGGGCCTAGAGGCAGCAACAACAACAAAAGTAGTGGAAGGG